TCTGGTTCAATCACACTCTTCCCTAAAGCAACAATTCTTAAAACTGTATCTCTATTTTTCTAGAAAGGATGTACATATACCCCCAAATATTTATCTACTTGCCACTGATATAAATGAAAATACTTATATTGATATGAGATGAACACATATCATGTCCTACCCACAAATGGGAAAAACCAGCTGATTTCCAGATTGGTTCAGCATGTCTACAAGCCCAGTAACACAGAAGTGCAAACCACATCAGCCACATTGAGAGGGCTCAGTGATCACAGATCACATCTCAAATATGTCTTACGAAGTGTGAAGACCGAATACTGTGAAGCTCTGTGAAGTTCAGTCCTGCTTTGGATGTCTGTTCACATGGTCTGGGCATGTCTAGAGAGCAGAGTTACAGACCAGTGCTCAGTCTTTGCAACTTCACATCCTTAAATTGCAGTGTGCAACTTGGTGCATATGATACTGCCAACCCCACAGGCTCAGTGACGACAGGACCCCAGAAGCTTTTTTCTGCCCCTTTTCCCTTTTCCTTCACAGCTCACACAGCAGAGATGCCCTACAACCAGCTGCAGTCTCCATTCCCATGGGCACAACAGGCACCTGCACCTTCACTCCCACCAAAATGGTGAAGTGCAGATGAAGTACTAACACCCCATGTTGATATGTCATGTTACACCATGTTACAGATCAGGAGACTTCACATGACCATTTAGGGCATCACCTTAATTAGAAACTGTAATTAAATGCCCTCTGAAGGTTGGTAATATCATTTGCTTCCAGGCCATCTTATTTCATGAGGAATGCTCTGCTGGGCCAGATCAATTCTCCCGTGGAGCCTGGTACTGTCCCTCAAAGCTGTGTTTACTGCTATGAGTTTTGCCATGACCACCAGAAGAAAAGTTTTACACCTTCAGCGGTTGCCAGATGGGGTGAGAACACAGCCAGAGCACTGAGGGCAGCACAGCCTGCACAACAACTGAGCTGTCAGGAATGCCGAGCTGCGCTGCCCTCTGTCCTAAACAGCACCTATAAAAATAAGATTAAAGCACTCGTGTTTACAAATGTTTCAGGAAGCTGCTGGCCTGCAGGTGACCACAGACACTGCCTTTGGCTGGCTCTGGCCAAAGCAGGTAAGTGTGGGATGGTGTGGCAGGTGAGCACTGCTCTGCTCAAGAGCAATTCACGTCCTGCTTTAAGGAACACTCTGTACACGACCCTGCAAAGCTGAGACACCTCAAACAAGAAAGTGAGAGCAGAAAATTAACAAGTGGAGCAGCACATATTGAGACATGCAGTCTTTTTTTTTTTTTTAACTTAGATCTTTGTTGTTTTTAATAATTGATATAAAGTAACAGATGACTCACTAATTGCACTTCTAAATTGTAACCCAACCTGGAATCAATCACACATGGCATAACTTCTGTTCTTATTTGAAGCTAAATCCACCACAGTGCCTTCAGTAGCTGCTCTAATAATTGCATTAGTCATAACCTGAAAGTATTTCCCATTTCCTTAGTTCCAGTTTTGCTTGCTTTTCAAGCTGATCCCCATCCCTGTTGCTTAAAAGATCTCTGAAATGTTACCCTGCAAGTCCTCTGGGACTTGAGGAGCCCTGTGCAACATTTCGTGGTGTGATTCCTCCTCTCCTGGTGTCTATTGTCTCCAGCTAAAATGCTCCTTTGCTCTAGCTCAGAGAATCATTCACAGTTGCAACAGATACTAACTAGCAAGCACTGCGTAAAACCTGGTGAAGAGTTAGGTAGACAAATGACTGCCAGCATAAATCATATCATCTTTTGTTTTGCAGCAGAAATTCTCAGTTTTTAAGTATCCTCTACACTAGATACTTACCTGCTTGATTCTCTCCCTTCCATGCCTGAGATACACTTTAAAATAAAAATTAATACTAAACTCATAAGGATTTTTCAAAATAAAACTCTTTGCTGTAGCAATCTTATGAGACTAATTTCCCATGTAAAGACAGCTTTTTCTATGAAGATTTTTTAAAGACATGCATATGAAGTTATTTTTTGCAATTCAAATTCTGCCCTCAGCTATCTTTGCACAAATCCCATTAACTTTAGTATATGTCTAAAGGCAGAATTTGAAACCCATAAAGAACTGGGTCACTGGACAATGGCAAGTCTCAAACAGAGATTTCTGAGTTATAACAAGAAAAAAATCCCTCTTCCCTCGGGCACTAGGGGAGCATTCCCATTTGTCTGTAAACAATACCAAACACTTGAAACCTGACAGGCTGCATTTCATCCTTGCTCACTTAGGGGTTTCCCTGTCCTGTAGCTAACGGCCACTTAGTGCTCAGTGTGGCATTTGGGGCTGAGCTGCATCCCCCATTGCCCATCCCTGCCTCACTCCAACCTTCACACTGGCACCAACCAGCAACTCCTTCAGCTCCTTACAGAGGGCCCCTCCTTTCTCTAAGGGGTGCAGGTAACATTCAAGCACACATGACAATGTCTTAACTATTTCTATGGAAAAATCTGTAGGAAATACATTATTTCCATTGTAGTTATATATTTTAAAAACTAATTATTTCTGTGCCAGTATTTTGTCCCAAGAAAGAACATAATTATTGTTAATTACATCAACTTTCACCAAGGTAACTCTTAATTCCACATTGCTTTTGATACAATGCAATCCCCATCTTTTATTGACCATACTTAGAGCTATGAATTCAATTTTCTTCTTTTTATATTCCATGAAGCCTAAAGACAGATGTTAACTTTTTTCCAAGCCTCAGATGTTCTCTTCCTTGTTAAATGTATATCCTTGTACTGCAGCGCCAAAGCTCTTCCAATCCCCTGTATTCTAAATTAATCCATCAATCCCCTTTCCTCTGTGCTTTTGCCCTTGGCAAATCATTAGCCCAAGGGAGAACTCAACAAAAAAATTCAAGATTTCACTCAGACAGACCACAGCTGAAAACATTTTTCTTGTACCTCTGCAATAACTTCACTACCTGAGGTGCCATCTCTTGCAGATTTTCCATCCTCACTACATTTCCTGCTGCACAGCCACTCATTTCACAGCTGCCCCTTCCCAACCCACCATCCACCCAGCAGCCTTTCTCCACGCTGTATTTATGCTGTGTCTCTATTTGATGCAATTAGTTTCAAATAAAACTGTTCTTATGTTAAGTCCTTGGACCAGTCCTTGATTTCCAGCTATTATCTTCTGCCTCTTTTCAAGGCCCACACTAATATTTTAAGGTCACACAGGAGATTTGGCTAAATTCATTCATCGCTTTGAAATCTCTCGATCCAAGACATGAAAGCAGCAACTGAGATTCCTCATATTTATTTCTCCTTTCAATCCCCAAACACAAAAAGATAAAAGTCTGTTACAAAGGCAGAGCAATGTCTGACTGTTCAGAACTAGAGTGACACTTCAGCCACAGGCTTGTAAAGGTGTACACAAAATGTAAGTCTAATTGGAACAAGGCGGACCTCTCCCTACAATTAAAGTTATTAATGCACACGTGCTTTCCACTTCCACTCTAATGCTGAAATCACTCTGTTGAATGAAAGTTACTGTTTCATTTCAGCACCACAAATCTCCTGATCCTACAGCCTTTGGCCAAAGTTCCCTCAGGGGCTGCTTCAGCACAGCACGTTGTGTACCAATTATTTTGGAATGCAGATCCCCAGTCTTTATTCTTCACAGCCTGTATAAAATCAGTTTTGAAAAGTATAAAAAGTGATATTGAATATGATTGCCATGCACATGTATGCTGGAAGCTGAGTTCTAAAAGGCACTTAACCTAGAAAATCCGGCAGAAATTCTGAAGCACTCAAGTGACTATTGGCCATTTGAGTGTTGAAGCACATGGAATGCTGAAGGATTATGGAGTTCTGTAACTGTGCTATGTAACACACATACAAAGAAATAAAATTCATCAGACTCAACAGTCTCCTCATACCTAAAGGCTCTGCTCATCAGGGCTGATCTGGAATGCAATGAACATCAGCTCTGGGAGCTCTTTCCATCTCCACTGCAGGGCCCATCTGCTCTAGAACAGCCACCTGTCTGGGACTGGGAAGAACTATTGCAGGGAGCTGAAAACTAACTTAAACCCACTTGTCTTGATCTCTAGAAGAGAAAGATGGAAATCCTTGACTGCCACACTCCTTGTGCAGCCCAACCCGCCCAAACACACCATGAAAGTGCCTTGATTTTGTCCTCAGCCACTGAGGTTCCCACAAGGAGCTCAACAGCTCACATGGAAACCCTACCTCAATTCAGCTTGGGAACCTGCTCTTTGTGCAGTGGTCTGGATTTGGCAGCGGGATGTTAAACGCTCCAAGGTGACGCGCTGCGTGAGGGACCGAGGCCCTGCCGCACCCTGCCCCCGGGCCCGCCCGGCGCCCCCTCAGCCGGCGGGGCCGGGGCTGCCGGAGCTATTCACGCTCGGGCCGGGGCTGGGGTGGCTGTAGCGCCGGTGCCGCCGCAGTGCCGGTGCCCGCCGCGGAGCCCCGGGCGCGGCCGGGGCCGGGCCGGCCCTGCCCTCACACACCTGCCCAGCCCGTGCCCTCAGCGCTGCGCACTCTGCGCCCGGCACGCTCGCGCCTACGCCGGCAGCGCGGCGGGAGCCCTCAGGTGCGGCGCCCGCGCTGACGACATTACGGAGAGTCCGTAACACACACCGACCTCTCGGAGGGGCTCTACGCAAGCGGCGTTTCCAGGTGCGGCTCAACCGCTGCCGCTCCGCGCGGCCACGGAGCGCTCCGAGCGGTGGCGCCGCTCCGCAGGCGGCGGGCGGGACCGCGCGGGATGCGCGGGGAGCAGCGGCCGCAGGTGGGGAGCCGGGCGGGCCGGGCCGCCCTACGCCGATTCCGTAAGGCTGCGCCGGCCTGCAGGAAACGGCCGGGTCCGCGGCGCTACGTAGCTGGCGCAGGGCGGCGCGGCACCCCGTACGCAGTTGGCGTAGGGCGCTCTCAGGTGCAGGGAAGGGGCGGGCGCGCGTTGCCCGGCAGCCGCAGCCTATGGGGGCGCGGGGCGCGGTCACGTGCGCAGCCCCGCTCGGCGCTGCGGAGCCGGAGGAGCCGGACGGGGCCGCGGAGCCGGGACGGGGCCGCGGGGCAGCGCCGGGGCCGGCGCCGGGCTGGGTGAGGCTGGGCGTGCGGCGGGGAGGGGTCGGGGCAGCGGGCGGCCCGTCCCCGGGCACCTCTCCTCCCGCTGCACCGGGCACTGCGGGCAGGAGGCAAGGGCAGGACACGGCGCGGGGTGGGGGGGCGCTGCTGCGCGCGCGGAGGGGCGCGGTGGGGCGGGGGGGGCTCCGCGGGGCCGCGGCCGGCGGGGAGGGGCTCGGGGCTCGGGGCTCGGCGGCGCCGTGCGCGGGCGGCCGCCCCTCCGCCGGCCGCGGGGCGCGCACCTGCCGCGGGGCGCGTTACCTGTCCGCGGGGCGCGTTACCTGTCCGCGGGGCGCGTTACCTGTCCGCGGGGCGCGTTACCTGTCCGCGGGTGGCGGCGGGCGCGGGCGCAGCCGGGCCGCCCCGCGCGGTGTCCCCGGGCGGTCCCGGCCAGGTGCGCGCTGGGCGGCTCCCGCCGCGGCTCGCGGCTCGGCCCCAAGTTCGCTCCGGCGCGGTCGGTGCGGCGCCCTCCGCGCCCCGGCCCCGCGGGGCAGCCGAGTCTCTCCGGGCAGGCTCCTGGCTCCGAGAACACTCATCCGTGTTATGGTCCATGGTTTGTTTGGGTTTTTCCTCCTCTTTCATTCTGTATTTGCTTTGCACTGGATTTTGTAATCATTAACCCGCTATCCCTTCTGGAAGTGAGAGCGTGAAAGGGATAACCGGGGAGTCACATGCCTGCCACTGAGTAGAGCAAAACTTGAGGTTTGAGTCAAAGTGGAAATATGCATTATCTGGCTAAATGTCTTATTATTAATTTACATGGCTCTGAAAATGGTGCCTTGTGATTTGCAGAAAGAAGAGAGTGAGAATTCCAAGCAACTCCTGTACAGGGTATGGCAGAAGAGAAAATTTATAATGTGGGGGGGTCCTAGATACATCAGAATTAGTTATTTTCTGTATCTGTGTCCTCTAGTTTGTTAACAGTTTTTAAAACTTATTCCATTTTGTCGTGACAACTCACGCTAAGTGTGGTCAAAGAAAAGAAAGATTTAAGTGGGGATTATTGTGAAGAGTATCACATATTTCAGAGCGTCAGTTCCAAAAAATGTTTATGAAACTGTAAGTTAATTAAAATAGCTGGGCTGTTTAACTTAAATTAAAATACTTGTGTTCTAGCAAACATTTGAAGCCTGACCTTCTATGGTAAAGACAGAAAATTAAAGTAATTTCCTCCATTCACGCAGAGTACTTTAACATCTTTAGAAAGAATGGAGAAGGACTGTTTGCAGACTTGGTCTAGGCTTTGATTTTTAAAGACATGGTAACCCATTTTTGAGACCCAAAGGAAGAAGCCGTGGAGAGGAAGAGAGGAAGGAAGGAAGGAGCATGGAGCAGTGCTGGCTACTTGGAGGGAAGGCCTTAAAGCAAAACTTTTGGAATGGGAAGCGAGGAAGGCCTGGCCCTGTCTCTGGAGAGGTTGTATTGCTGTACTCCTGTGTTTGCTCAAGGTCGTTGTTCTCTCTGAAGAGCAAAAGCATTTTCCAGTTTAACGAGCCCACCTCTTCCATGGAAGGTGTACAAGCTGGGTTGTAGTTATTTCCTGCCAGTGCAGAGAGGAAGGAGAAATCTGTCAGCAGACTGCAGCTGGCTGTAGCTTCTTCTAAATTCCTGGTCATTTTTAGGAAGTTGGACTTGTCTCTGGAAGTTCTTAGCATGTATAATTTTCTTCTGTCTGGAGCTTTCCAGCCACTTGCCTTTGCTTCGTGTTGTGTAGAATGCAGGGAGAGATGTGGAGAAGAGAGTAGGATTGCTTACAGTGAGGGTTTAATGTTTTCAGTGCTCAGTTCCTCAGAATCTCATCATTGATGGTGCCAGTCTGGTGCTGCTTTGGCATGTGTAGTTCAAAGAGAATCTTTAGTCTTGTGAGTTTGGTTAGCCCTGGTTTTATAAAGGGCTTTCTTTGCACGGGCTGTTCATCCAGACTCGTCATTTCTCCTGAACTATTGGCAGTATTTCTCATTTCTGCACAAAGAAGATGCTGATAAAGTGCCAGTTCTTGCTCTGTGTGGTTGACAGGCTAAATATGAGGTGGAAATCTGGAACTTGATTTCTTGGGGAACTGGAGGAAGATTCCACATAGAAATACCTGTGTGCTGGGGAGCCCCAGGGGTAACTGATGTCAGTGTTGCTGAGGAAGTGACCAAACCCAGCTTTGTGGCTTGCCCTAGAGGAATTTCAGACACAGCTGATTTCAAAGCAAAGGCTCAGAAGTAAATGTGAAGACAGTAAGCAGTTGGAAAGGTATAACAGAAGATGGCATAAGGCAAGCAATGCCAAACCTAAACATGGGAGAAGTAGTTTAAACTGTGATGGTTATGTGGGTTTTGGTGACTCTTGTTTCTGGCTTGTAAGCAGTTTTTCCATGGATGTTCATTCAGGATGCAGTGCTTAAGGTCGCAGGGCTCTCTTCTTTTGAAGCCCCTCTGTTAATGTTCCTCAAAAGCCTGTGGGGGAACTGAGATTTTTTTTTTTTTTAACTGTGAAATCTTGTTTGGAACTAAAAAAAAAATGTAAAAAGAAAAGTAGTCTTAAGAAGCAGCTTCATGTTGTGAAAAGCCTCACTGTAGAATCATAAAAGCTGCAGTTTTTCCACGTTGCTTTGTAGCTTGGCATGTAAACAGAGCTCTTTGAAGAGCATATCCATGGCTGGAAAGGGGGAGTGGGAAAAGCTCTGGCTGGTTAACAAGCTTCTGAGTGTGTGAAAAGCCACCATGAACATGCTTGGTGAAGTGTCTGTTAAAACATGCAACTGTCCTGGGCTGGGGTGAGGTACTTAGACCTAGAAGTGGCCAATGTGTCAAAGTATCAATATGGAAAGAGCAAAACAGTGGCAGTTTGTGTATTTACAGACTGGGCTGGGTGAGGGGAGTGCTCAGGGCAGGTGGGAGGGGGGTGCTAGGGGGTGAGGATGCAGAGGGTCAATCTGCACCTCCTTGGGCTCACCTCCAGCTCTTGTTGAGTTTGGGTTTATGGTGTCTCTCACCTTGCCAACAGCAGACTTCAGTGTTTTGGGGTCTGTGCCTTACTTTGTACTGGGCTGGGGACAGCGAGGGCTTTTCTGAACGGCCACATGAGGAGCACTTGGCTGGTGTGGTGTCCTGCATTTCCTGGAACCCAGCAGTATTGGCAAGGGGTGATTGCTTTGCTGCTGAATATGCTGCAGTGAGGAAATCAAAAGGAAAATTCCTGTTTAAAGCAATATGAAAAAACTGTTAAGAGATTTAAATAACAAAAAAATACAAGTCTCAAACCCTTCTGCAGAAACCATACCTTTGACTACGTTTGTTGTAGTTGTGAAATTGACAAACAGAAACTTTGTACTTGATATTTATGGGAGGAGAAGCCTTACCTGAAATTGCTGGTATCTTGTGTTAAAAGCAATAATTGAAATAAGCTAAAGGCCAAAGACAGTATTTTCCCAGTTGTACTTCTGCAGTTCTTGGCACTTGTGTAGTTTTTCCTTCTTATGTCCAAGTTTTTCACTGAGCACTGTGAAAAACTGACAGTTCGTGTCAGTGTCAGCTCACAGAGGGACAGTGTTCCTATTTAACTTCTTTGAAAACCTCAATTCATGTCCTTTAACAAAAAACCTGCAGAGCAATTCTTATGAATGACATGAGCAAATAAACATCTTGCACTCTGGATTTTTAGTCTTTCTTTATGTTTCTGGTCCTCTGACTCTAGTCATCATGGAATAGGAGGGGACAGAATTCTTGGAGCCCACCCCACATTGGTCTGTTGCCTCATGCTCCTAGCTCTGCTGTGCACTGCACATCTTGACCTTTCTGCTAATTTCCTGTGCGGTGTCAAAATGTGCACGAGGTGCTGGCTATAGGGGAAGCCCCAGAACAAAATCAGGGTATGTCATTTGTTCTGCTGTTTGTGAAGGGTATGGAAGGCATGGCCCTGGGCTGCTCTGTCCCTCCTTTGTTGCTAAACCCAAGAACTCTGGGACTAACCCAAGGCTGGATTTTGCGTGCAGCTGAGCCAGGCTGCTGTTTCTCTGGGCCGCCTGCACATCTGCCCATTGCTTTCTCCAGTAGTAAAGACCAGGGATTAATTGCTAAACCCCAAGCCCTTGTGGTCTTATGTCGTTGATTTTTCTATAATTATGCAAAATTTTATAACTTTTCTGTAGTAAAATATTGTCATAATCTGTTGGTAACTTAAAGGTGTAAGTGGATGTTGAAGAGAAATAATCTTATGAGATCCATTTTAGGGATCTTTTGGATTGTGGAAACTTAAGTGATCCTGCCACACGTGTTGATTTACATTAGTTCCCTTATGTTGTGGTTTGGCGTGCTATTTAGGAGCCCTAAGATGCTCCTGGTGATTGACATAACAAAATGTAAATTATATGCTGTTTTCCTAAGGTCTAATTTATCTGTCGTAAGGTTTGTGTACCAACAGTACTGAGCTCTTCTTACAATAATGTTTCTCTTTCATGTAATGCCTACACAGGGGAATTAAATTACCCTTAATTGTATGCTTAAAAAGAAAATAAAATTGGGGTGTGTATGGCTATGCCAGTAAATTAAATTTTGCTGCTTCTTGTTCTTTTTGTGCATTTAGTTTAAATTGTCTTTATTGAAAAATGTTATGTTTGAGTATCTGGTTGGGAAAAACAGTCTTACTCGTGGGTAGCTGTGAGATGTCACAAACTTGAAGAAATCTTACGAACCAGAATTAATTTAGATTTTAAAGCAGAACTTGGCATTTGGCTTGGCAGTAAATGAACGCAATGGTGAGAAACTGGTGTTGCCCCATAGAAATTGCCCCCTGGTAGGAGCAGAAAAGGGCAAGCTGAGTTTAGGGCCTTGTACTTCTCTCTTTTTCCTCTGATTCTTGTGAGGAAGACACTTTGAACACATTTCTTGTTTTACTTGCAACACAGCAGATTGGCGTGTTGGCACAGCGTCTTAAGTGTTGGGCCCTCAAGAGTCTTTAGTATTCCCTGAGACACGGGGATGATGTTC